TGCAAACTGCCCCTGCAAGGGACCCTACCACGTTGGGATCACCCTGGGACACACATCCAGGGTGCCTGGAGGGAGCCGGGCTGGCTGGGGCGCTGGCCCGAGGGTGGGCTTGGGAACAGGTGACCTCCTGTCCCTCACCGAGCACTGGCTGCACCAGGCCTCGTGCAGCAACCCAGCTGGGCACGACTGCCACCTTCATGTCGTGTCGAGGACTCACTTGGAGAGCTGACAGTCCCCGAGGGACAGTCTCCATGTCCCCAGCCAGGGTACACACAACAGGGCTTAGGGGCAGGTCCCACCATGCCGTCCAGCTCTGGCCAGGGCTCACTCCAGCCAATCACCTTCGGATGCAGCCTCGCAGCCCAAGTGTCCACCAAGGTCACCTTGGGAGGAGCAGCTGTGTGGACACCAGGGGCCCTGCCCCATCCCTTTCTGAGTCAAGGGGGCTGCTCACTCCCACGCCTGTCTCTGGCCGGGCAGGGACTGGGTGACGGACGGGCCCCTCCACGCGGCACCCCAGGCCCAGCTGCGGGGCAGCGTCAGGGCCGACCTCACAGGTGCAGGGCACACAGGCCTCGAGCTGAGCTTAGCTCAATGCTCTGCTGTTGCCGTCTTGAAATTCCGAATGCTTTTGTCTTCGAACGTGTGTTTTGCAGGTGAAGGTCAATGGGACGCCGGAGCACGCATATCGGCCACGGAGGCAATGCACAGGCACACACGCGTGCCCGCCCTCACTGATGGCCCGGTTCGAGCGGCGCACTCATGATGCCCACAGAAAACCGGTGCCAGTGGACCCATGACATGTGGGAGCAGCGACACGCTAAGCAGGTGCCAGGTCAGCATGTCACATCTACAGCTGAGCCAGCCCGGGCGTCGAGGGGCTGCGATTTCCGTTCAAACCCAACTTGCTTCAAATGCAGAAGGAAGACAGTGTGTTCCAACACCCACGCATGACCAGGGAGCCCGCCGAGTCCTTTCTTACTCATGTGACTTTCCGTATTGGCCAAGCACTTGTGCCGACAACGTGGCAGAGGCGGGATACGGATCGACCCACAGCTCCCCTCCCTCTCCGTCCTCAGCCTCGGTGGGCCGGTGGCGCGTGGGGCAGAACGTGGGTGCGTCAAGGGGTGAAATAAAAACGGTTGAGTGTTTGCACACGACACACACACACATGCAAGCTGCAAAATACAAACGGTGTCATTTCAGCGACTCTGCACAGCCGTGAAACGTTCTTGCATTTGCATTCAAAACTGGCACCACGCAATATAAAGAATGATGGCAAAACTCACGCTAATAATTTAAACTGCTAATTTTTCTTTACTTCCAATGGCATTAAAAAGTGAGTATAAAATGCCGTTAACTCAAGAGATTAACCGTGGAAGAAAGGAAAAAATTTTAAATTTTAGCGTCCTTACATCACGTCACAATCACCTCCTGCCTGGCTCCTAACTTCCAGGCGGGGGCAGGGCCTGGCCCACCGGACAGGCTGGGCACCTGCACCCGCTGACTTGAGTGCCAAGTTGCCGAGGGTGCCTGCCCAGGAGAGCCACCAGGCTGAGACGCACTTCCCAGAGGGTGAATGCTGCAAGACTTAGGAATCAAACAGTCCCTGGGTTAAATCACAATTCCCAGCGTTTTCAAGCTCTATGGCTTCAGGCACTTAATCTTTAGCAACTGGCACTTAGTAAAGGGCAGCTTGGGGTGAGGGGACGTTATAACTAGGGCACAATCCGCAGGCCCGTGTGACCAGGAGACTCACCTGTGTCCCGGCTCATTATGAGGGCAGTCCCTTCCACACCCCAAAACGTCCCCATACGTAGTGATACGGTCACTGTGAGTCTGTCTCCTAGCGGGACGCGCTCTCAGGGAAACGGCACTGCCAAACTTGAACTTGATCTCGGGTCTGCTTCTGACCCCTCCACCTCCACCCCCATCCCCGTTCTACAGGAAATACAGGGACAGGCACCCAGTGAATGATGCCCAGGACAGTGCCATCCGCAACACCCGGAGCACGGAAGCGTGACAGAACAAGCACCCCATTTCTTCAACAGAGAAATCGGGGAACTGCTTCCAAGATGCTTAAGAGGCCCATTCAGCAGATTTGACGTGTGCACCGAGTCTATAAAACCAACTGTACGAAACTTTGAGCCATCGGGGGACTGTGCTGGGGACTTGATAGGAAAGAACCGTTGTTCATCTGAGGGGGTGATGACAGTCCTGGAGTTTCCTTCAGAGGCACACATGGAGATTTTACAGGTGAAATGATTCGAATCTGGCAATTGCTTCAAAACAATGTTGGGGCCGGCAGGGGGGTTGGGTGGGGCGGGAGAGGCCACGTGTTAGTCCGGGAGCCGCCGGCTCTCCTGAGTCCCAGTGTGTCCCCCCCCCCCCGCGGCCAGACTGCACGGCTGACTCATGGACACTGCTTCAGTCAGAGCCTGCGTCCCCGCTAGAACCCACGCTCCTTGGGGACAGGGCTCCTGGCCAGCACACCGATGCAGGAAGAGGTGCTCAACAAGGATTCCACAGCTTTTGCACATATTTGGAATTTTCCATAACGAAATATGGGAAAACAAAAATGGTAGCACTACTTACACTTGGCGGGCCCGGCGCTGTATGCCAGCCCCAGCTCCTGTGCATGGGGCGGCCCCACCAGCCCCGAGTTCCCTCCCTCCCCTTCACCAGCCCAACACCACTCCGTCGTCCTATCGACCTCACCTGGGGTCAAGGTGAGGCGCTGCCAGGAGAACTCAGGTCCTGTGGCTCAGCGAGGTCCCTGCCCTGGGTGTGTGTCCCTGGGAGGCGGCTATGGGCTGGCCCTCACTGGGTGACTGAGACAATGTGCAGCCCCAAGCCACAGCTGGCCCTAAGGACCCCAGTAGGCCTGATCCTCGTTAGACCAACCGACCCTTGACCCCAGCTAGAGTGGGCTTTGACCCTGGCTCCTGAGGAGCCCTGACCCAGGCCGAGGCTGCAGCTGGCTGGAGAGGATCCCTGCTCCTCCAGTAAGGGGAACCCAGCCAGTCTCGCTGACATGGATGCACCCCAGGAGTCTGTGTCCTGCTGCCGTGGTTACACGGGAGCCACTCGCTCCATGACAACACCATGGGACCCTCCTCCCACACTCCCCCTGCCCCCCGGGTCCAATGGCTTTGCCCCATCCACTCCCTCCTGAAGGAAGAGATGCCTCCAGCACCCTAAAGCAACTAGGGGATCCCCAACCCCTCCCACCTCTGCAATAAAAGGGAGCTCTGGGCACCAGGTAGACTTCAAAGGCTCCGAGGCCCAGGGTCACAGGCGGAGCTGTGTGATGTCCCAGCGCCAGCTCCCAGGTGGGGGGCTGGGAGGGGTGGGGTGCGGTGGGTGGGGATTTCTCAGGAAACTCCCAGCCTTCCTTGTTCCTTTCAAGGGCGGCTCTCAGGTAAAGAGATCTGTAGGGTGTCAGCACTGCCGCCCACCTCTGCAGCTGGCTGGGGCCATACTTCCAGCACCTCTCGCTAAACCCTCCCACAGCCTAGCAGCACCCCCAGGTTAAGCCGTTTTCCTGGGGTACCTGGCTGGTCATGGGCAGTTGAGTTATGGACACGGGTGGCCTGGACCTGGAGCCGGCGCCCTGAGCCCCGAGACAGAGGGCGGCCTGGTGCTCACAGTCTGACCACCTCAGCCCAGCCCAAGCCCTGTGTGGTCAGCCGCCTCCAGCCTCCAGCCACCCAGCCAGAAAGCAGCCCCGCCTGGGCCACCCACAGGCCTGCTGCCACCTGCAGAAGCCCTGGCCCCAGGAAGCATCTGGATGGCCTTGGTACCTATGGGTGGCCTGGCTGGACTGCGGCCTCACGCCTCTGGGCCTGCCCTACAGAGGAGGTGGCAGGTCCAGGAAGAAGTGACCACAGAAGAGTCTGGCCCTCACCTGGGAACAGGGACAGAGTGCCACTGACACACAGAACTGGTTTATTTATAAAGTTCGTCCTCCGTAAAGTAGGTTTCCCCAGGCAGGTCTCCACAGCCCAGCGAACGGCACCCCCAGGCCAGGACCTCCCACCCCTTCAGGGGCCGCTCTGTCCAGATCTTGGCCAGGTTGGAAACTTCCAGGCGGTGGGGGTAGGGGGTTCGATAAACTTTATTGTGCTCCAAGTCTAAGGAGTCTTCGTACAAAAATCGGTCTTCAGACTGCCAGCACTGTCCCCCCAGCAGTTCAAGTTAACGTGTAGAGAACAGATTTTCTGGGTCCTTATAAAATCCTCTGCTCTCCAGAAAAATCTCGCAGCACAGGTGCCAGCCCCGTCGTAGCACACCTGTGGGGCACTGGCATCTAGCAGGCTGGAGGCGGCGAGGCAGCGTGGGCGGCGTCCCGCTCGGAGGGGCCGGTGGGGACCCGCGCGGGCCGGTCCGGTCCACCTCTCGGGCTCCAGGCGAGGTGCGCTCGGCAGCGTCCAGGGCTGCGGCTGCGGGAGAAGGCGGGAAACCGACGACGCGTCACCCCCGCGGGCTGCGCGCAGCGCAGACCCCGCCTGGCCCGGCCCTGCCCTCCTCCCCCAGGCAGAGTCGGCAGTTTCGCCACCCCGTCGCATTTGGAATCTGAGGTCCGCGACGGGGCGGGGGCGGGGCGCGCGCTCGGGGGCCGCAGTGACTCAGGGCTCCGCGCTGCCGACTCATTCTGCCACCCGGGCCGCCGGAGCGCGATTTGCAATGCAAAGTCACCCCGCCTCCAGCACCCCGTCTGCCGCGACGCGCCGCACTCAGGACCTCCCCGCCGCCGGCCGCTCCCTCCGTCTCCCCCGCCCCCACTCGGCGGAGGGCCGCGGGAGGAAGTTTTGCAATCTGGGACAAACAAACGCGGTCTTGCTCAGGCTTGAAAACGTTGGGGGAAAATGAAGAGCGAGCGCAATCCAAGCCATCGCCCGGGCCTGGCGCGAGACCCGCCAGGCATGCCCACCCCGCCCCGCCGTCCCCACCCCTCCGCCCTGCGGCCGGGGGTTACCTGCGTAGTCCCACGGCAGCGCTCAGTAGCCCCCTAACCAGCGTGAGAAGTCGAGCAGCTCGCGCTCCGCGGGGCTCAGCGCGCCCTCGCAGCCGCTGTCGTCTGACGAGTAGGCGGATCGCGGGGAGCCGGGCTCCGAGCTGCCTCCGCGGCCTGGGGACGAAGAGGCGCAGGAGGGTGAGGCAGTGGCGGGGGCGGCCCCGGGGGGCCCGCGGGACGTGGAGGGCCGCACGGCCGGCGCCAGCAGCCCCCCGGCCAGCGCGGAGCGCACGGCGTCGTGCTCGGCCAGCAGGCGCTGCAGCGCGCGGATGTACTCCACAGCCGAGCGCAGCGTCTCCACTTTGCTCAGCTTCTTGCTGGCGCCGCTGAGCGGCACGTGCTGCCGCAGCGCCTGGAAGCCCAAGTTCACCAGCTTCACGCGGTTGCGCTCGCGCTCGTTGCGCCGCGCCACGGCCGCCGCGCCGCCCCCGACCTCCGCCGCGCCCGGTCGCCGCCGCCGGCTGCAGCGCAACAGTTCCGGGGACGCGGGTCTCCGCCGGGCCGTGCAGCCGCCAGGGACGCCGGGCGCCGGGGGCGCGGGCCTGAGCCGGACGCCACTGTCCATCGCTCCCGCATCCAGCCGTCAGGCGCCTGCTCCGAGTCCCAGCGCGTCGCAGGGAGGTGCAGGCAGAGGAACTGGGGGCGATGGGGAGAACGGTCGCGCCCCCAGGTGGCCTCTGGCACTGCTCCACGGAGCGACTCCCCGAGGCACGCGTCCCAGGTCGTCTGGAGCCCGGGACCGAGAGGCACCAGAGGCCGAGAGGTGGGGAGCCCGGGAGCGTGGGACGCTCGTGTCCCTCGCGTGCGGCCGGACGCTCCCCAGGTCTTCCCTGGTGCGGCGCAGGCGACTCGGTTTTAAATGTATAGATAACCCTCCTCCGCGCCGCCGCCGCCTCCTTTCTCACGCCCTCCTTCCTTCGCCTCGCCCTCCCGCCACGCTTCGCCCTCCCCCTCGCGCACACATTCTGCAAAGCCCAAACTGAGCGCGCCCCCCCCAACCCTGTCCCCGAGGCGCCGTCCGCAGAGCCCAAGTGCGCCCCCCTGGCGCAGTCTGCAGGTCTTCAGTGCGCCCCCCGATCCCAGCAGGTGCTCAGTTCTTCCTCCAGAGCAAAGTACGTAGGTCCTGGTGTGCGTCCCCCATCCACAGTCCGCAGGTCTCAGGTGCACCCCTCCCTCCACCCCCAGGCGCTGTCAGCCGGTCCCTAGTGCAACTTTCCCGCATTCCCCACCCCCCGCGCGCGCAGCCAGCAAGTCGCCAGAGTCGCGAGTCCTCCGCACGCGCAGCGCGCGCTGTGGGACGGAAGGCGTGGCCAGGACAGCAGTGCAGCCGTCCCGGAGGCGCGCTAAACCCCTGAGGGCAGCACGCGCCGCGCAGCCTGCACTCGCGTCCCGCCCTCCTGGGCCCCAGAAGGCGGGGGCCAGGGTCTGAGCCAATCGTGGGCCGTCCGTTTGGCCAATCGCGGCGGGCGCGGCCCCACGCCCTGCCCCAAGGAGGAAGCGCGTACGCCTGGCGCGTGGCTCTCGGGGAGTGTCGCTAACAAAGCTCGGGGCCCCACTCAATTCCGCCCTGCTCCTTCCCCCGCGACGGGGCGTGCGCGCTCCCCCAAGCACACCTGTGCCTAGCCGGGCCCCAACCTGTGCGTTCGTCCGCTGGGACGGCCCTGGGGCGGGGTCGGGGCTTAGGGCGTGGTCGAGGCCGAGTTGGGTTGGAAGGTGCAGGTTCCCTGGGCACGGTCCCCACCCCGCCCCTCACCCCAGTCCCTCTTTGCACACCTCTCCAGAGGTGTCTGTGCGCCCTGGGCCAGAGGTTTGCATCCCACCAGTTCAGGCCTACGCCCCGCCATTTCCAGTAGCACGCCCACCCCGTCCTGCCCTCTTGTGCCTGGGTGCGCCTCCTTCCTTTCCCCGACTGTGTTTCCTCGCTGACACCCTCTTGGCTTCAGCCACCCACCGCGGCTGGCTCGAGCCTCCCTTCCCCCTCCCCGACCCTCGACCCTCGACCCTCGACCCTCAAGGGCACAGAGATTGCGCCGGTGGGAGAAAGGTCGCCTGGGGCAGCCTTGCGCCAGCACAGGCCCGGCCTTCCTCCCAGGGCAGGTGGGATGTCCAGAGAATCTCTGGCCCGCGGGGGCGGGGAAATGGGGGCGCGGTCTGAGGAGACAAGAGCAGAGGAATGCACTGTTAACGGGGGAGAGTTTTGATCCTACCTCACTGTCTGGAACAGGAGCCCTTGGGGGAGCCGTGGCCAGGCCTGTTTTTCCGAAGGTGACAAGATGCTCCTGGGCCACAGCCTCTGGGATCTCAGGGAATAATAGAGTGGTCGGGTGGACCCAGCTGCCTGGAGCTGCCTTCCTGATCTGGCTGGCGGAAGCCCCTCCTCCAGGGAGCCCACCTGGCAGAGGGCGAGCATCTACTGCCAAGCTCGCAGGCGCCCATTTGCTCCCGTCACCCTGCAGGGGGTTCTGCGGGGCTGGGCTGCCTGACCTTCCTGCTTTGCCAAGTGGCCTGGAGAGTAGCACCTGCCTGGGAGCTGGTGGCATCTGTCTCCATCTGGCTTATGGGGAGCCGACTCAGAGAGGACCCCGGCTGTGCCCACAGTCGCCTGGGCACAGTGGCGCGACGCAGGGAGAAATCAGGGCACTGAGTCTGAATCCAGGTTCCCCAGCCAGGGCAGATGCCGTCTCACCCTGGCACCCCCTCCTTCCCTGACAGTCACTTGGCAAACCGCAGCCTGAGATGGATCGGCCTGATCGTCCCTCCCCTGCCTATGCCAAGGCTGCGAGACAAGGTGCCGGGAAAACCCCAGAACCCCGCAGACCCAGCCTCGGTTATCTTTTGATGCAGAACAAACCACCAGGATTGTAGCAGCTTGAATGATGATTTCGCATTTCTCACGGTCCTCTGGGTTGGTGGGTGTTCCCACTGCTGGTCCCACAGCTGTGTTCACTTTAGGGATCAGTATGGGCGGGTGGGGGGCACAACTGGGTCTGGCCCTCCGCCTGGTCTTCACGGGCGCCTCTCCACAGCTGGGTTCCAGGATCTCGGGAGCAGACCCAGAAACTTCCTGTCCGAAACTCACAACCCTCTTTCTGCCCTGTCCACCTGGGACAGCCCTGCCCCCCACCGTGTGTCCTGCGCCACGGCCAGGCCAGCGCCTCTCTCTCCCTTCACCCTCTCTCCCGTCCTAGTCCTCCCAGGGCCTGCCCCTGACCCCAGCTTAAAACAGTCATCCCCGGGGACCCAGGATCACTCCCCGGTGCCCCTTCGTTTCTTGGCACCGTGCAGCCTTTGGCCCTGCGGCCCCTCCCTTGATCCGGAAGCACGCTCTCTCCGGAGCTGGGGTCTCTGTGCTGTCTGGGTCATCTTTTCTGCAACTCTTGGACCCTTCTTCCATCCCGAGAGCCACACCTTAAACAAGCACGGTGCCCACGTGACGTTTCTAATGTTCATCCGCAGATGGTACACGAAGCGTGGTCTAGCCACGCCGTGGAACATTGCTCGGCTGCAGAAAGGGGGCGCTGACACACGCCACAGTGTGGGCGAACCCAGAGGCACGGCGCAGAGAGAAGGAAGCCAGGTGCAGAGGGTCACGTCATTTGATTCCACTTGTGAGAAACGTCCAGAACAGGTGAACCCACAAAGGCAGACGGCGGTTCGTGGCTGCCACAGCTGGGGAGTGGAACGGGGACGGGGTGACAGCTAGAGGGTACAGGGTTTCTTTTCGAGACAATGACCATGTTCTAAAACGGGCTGCGAGGATAGCTGCCCAGCCCTGCGAATCCACTAAAACCTTTTGGAAAGTGCACTTTCGGTGGACACACTGTGTGCTGTGTGAACCAGATCTCAGGAGACCTTCACACCTGAGCAGCTGCCTCGGGAGGGCTCTGCCCGGCGCCCTGCCCGCACCTGGCACCCTCCCCAGGCTCTGCCCACTGTGGGGTGTCCACCCCTGAGCTCTGGAGCAGGGGCAGACAAACACTATCGGCAAGGGACGGGACAGTAAATGCTTGGGCCTCACAGGCCACACCTGTGTCTGTCACGAACCCGCTGCCACCGCAGAGCAAATTCAAGCATAGACAGTGAGGAAATGATCAAGCGTGGCCGTGCTCCAACACAGCTGGATTTATGGACACAGAAATGTGAATTCCAGATTATGTTCATGTGCCACAGAATTTGATTTTTTTATTGTGGTTAAATATACATGACATAAAATGTAGCTTCTTAACTGTCGTCGAGTGTGCCGTGCAGTGGCGTTAAGCACACTGCCGTTGCTGTGCAACCATCTCCACCCTCCATCTCCAGAACTTTCGCGTCTTCCCAAACTGAAACTCTGTCCCTGTGAAACTCCAACTGCCGCCCCCTCCCAGCCCCTGGCACCCGCCATCCCCTTCCTGTCTCCGTGACTCTGACTCCTCGGGGACAATAGACGTGTAATCCTCACATTGTGTGTCCTGGCGTCTGGCCTATTTCACGCAGCAAGACGTCCTCACGCCGTCCGTGCCGTAGCCTGTGTCAGGGTCTCCTTCCTGCCCCACCGGACGGACGGCCCACGGGTCGTGTGTCCACTCACCCCTCAGTGGACACGTGGGTGGCTGTCATGAGTAATGC